CACGCCCATTTGTAGACGTACATTTCTTCAGAGACATGTGATAGAGGGGTCACTAAAAAGACTTCAGACAGAGAAAGGCTTTACACTGTGGTGAAGTTCTGGAAGAAAATGGAATAGAAGTCCAAGTTCAAGGGCGATGGCAAAGCTGTACAGTCAAAGAGGACCCTGTCCTGTGGCTTTGTGGGTGTGGGCGGTGGTGCCCAGTTGACACCCCAGCGTGGGATTTCTAGTCCACCGGGCATGTTCTTAAGAGTAACTTTTATTTTAAAATCTCAACAATTCTATTTTATAGAATTTCATCTCTTTAGCTGATGAAAATAGATTACATTCTCAGAAATGACTTTAAATGTGTTAAGGGGTCCGTAGATTTTCAGAATTCTTCCAGAGCCTGTCTGGACAAAACCGGATGGAGTCCACTGCAGCGAAGAGCCGTCCGCACGCCAGCTGGGCCCCACTGCCGCTTCCTGGGATCCCTTAAATAATGACAGTTCGGCATCGGCTGATCATTGAACAGTGGGCGGATTAGCAGTCGTTTCAAAGAGCAGTTACCATAGGCAACCAAAAGCTGCAGTTGACATTAATTACATCTCAGTTTATCCTTTGATAAATGCTGTTCGTGGCGGTGAAGGGCGAGAGTGCCCGCAAATTAGAACACCTTGACGTGGCAGTGTTTCCTGCGGGGGGTGCTAAGCGTTGGAAGTTCCTGCGGAAGTCGAGGCATCTCCCTGAGCAGCCTCCACACGGCTCAGAGCTGCCCGCCTCTCATCTCTGCTGTTCCTCCCTTTGTAATCAGCGCAGTTTGTGTTTGTGACCTTGGCCTTCAAATGGAGTTGAGTGCACATGAGATTAGAGTTTATATGAGCATAGTTGCTTGAAAGATATGGTGTCTCCTGCTTCTTATTGAAAAACTATCATGTGTACAATGAGCAACAATGAAGGAGAAATGAATTTTATTTTAACTATAATATTTTAAGCAATTTAATTCTGATAGACAACTGTAGATATTTAATGTTCAACCATCTTAAAGGCACCGTAAAAAGGAACAGCAGCCCTTCCCACCCCCTGCCCCGTGGTGCACGGTACAGTGGGAACTGGTCAGTGGGAACTGGTCGGTGGGAACTGGTCACTGCGTGTAACATCCAAGGTCCGCCGCCCCGAGGGGTGTTGGCGTGAGGCCCGACTGCGGCGACGTAGCGATGAACTTCGGCCCGGACTGGAAGCGTTCAAGGGCGCGGGCGCCCAATGACTGTTCCGCGAGGCATTGCAAATGCGAACGTCCCAGAAGGAAACGGAGGGGTCGCAAGCAGCAGCACGGCCGGGCCCCCCACGGCCCGCGGGCCCTCACCGGCAGGGGTGCCCGACCTCCCGAGACTTCAAGGCAGCTGGAGACCCACGTTTCTCCATGAAACCTGCTTTTTATTTAAGTTTTACCAGAGAGTTCAAACATTCTAAAATGATGCATGGGTCCCAGAGAACACATCTTTCTGCTGAGCGTGGCCCATTGCGTCCTTGTGACTGCTGCTTTATCACTGTCCTCGAGTCTTCATTCGAAGTGTCCATTCTTGTCAAGCAGTTCCTAGGACAAATACTACCAATTATTGAGGTTTTCCAAAATGCTGGTTATAGCTTATTTCAGAGCGAACCTGTAAAAAATTCTATAGGGAATGAGATCAATAACTGCTCTGGGTGTAATTAAAGACAGCCACGCGATTAACCTCATTAATCTCAGCTTTGTAAAGGAGTGTGTGTTTTAATTCACTTTTGGCCTATAATTACAAGTTTGTTGGGAACACTAGGAAATGACTTTGGGTTAAACTTGTCATAGAATCTCTAGCGTGAGTCTGATTATTTTGTTAATAATTAAAAATTATTAAAAAGTACACGAATGCTTAGCTTTAAAGAACTGATGAATGAATGACCTACCTTAAAAAGAAATGAACCAGCCATTATTAAGTTGAGCTTAATTGAAATTATTTTAAGCATTTCTAATACAGTGCAGCCGGAAAGGAGAACATGACGTGAATGCTTGGCAATGAATGACCTACAACAAATGCTAGATGCCGTTTCTCAACTTACTTCATTATTTTCTTATACCCTTCTATCATGGGGTTTTGGTTAAAATAATAAAGTTAGGGTGCATGGCTCCTGCTTGGTTTTGTGTTTCCTGCCGTGTTTAGGTTACAGGCGAGGCCTGGTGTGTGCTAAAAAGAGCAGGAGGAGGTGTTAGAAAGAAGTCACTCTTTTTGTAGGACTCGGCCCTTCCTGGAGAGAAAGTTTCTCCTGATGAATATTATTCTTTTTCCCAGATTCCACCTGCCAAGAACAAATTAGTGAACTGTTTCTCTCCGCTTTCCAAGTACATCAAAGCTAAATTCTCGAGTAAACCTTGTTTGCCACACAGTCAGTTGGATGCTGTGTAGACAGTTAAGTTGGACTTGATTAGCCGTAAATTGCTTTTCAGAGATGACCTGTCTCTACTCCCATAAGGGACTGGAACGTAGCGCTCTGAGAACACATAGCAAATCCCCACCGCAGGGAGGGAGCAGGAGGCGCTACAGATGACTCTGGCGCCGTCTAGCCAGGACCTGCCGACTGCTCTGGGCTTCGGTCCGGCTGGGTCTTGGGGACTGGGCCTGGCCTCCGCGTGGCGGCCGCCACCACCATGAGTCTGGTGGCCGGGGGAGCTTGCCCGCCCCGGGAGGTCGCCCCTCACGTAACTATAAGGCCAGTGCTCTCAGCAGAGCGACGTGTTACATGAGAACAGAGAAGACCAAGGGCTCTAGGGAGGCTGGTTGAGTGGCCTTGGCGAAGAGGGCCGCCGACGGTGTTAGACTAGCGAGGGCGGACTTTACCTAAGCTTGCTGTCCTTCACTTTTCGGGGGTATATCCCTACGCGTGGCCATGCAGGGTCATGTGTTTAACTTTGCAGTGACTGCCAGGCGATCTCCCACGGCGGCAGCGCCATGTCACACGCCCCAAGCAAGGACGAGTTTCTGTTCCTTCGCGCCCTCTCGGCGCTGGCTGGTGCTTTCCTGGCTTTCGCTTGTTGCCATCCTGGTGGCTTGGAGGAGTTTCTCACTGTGGCTTTCGTTTACATGTCCTCAGTGACTGACGATGTTAAGCAGCTTTTACTGGGCTTGGTAGCATTTGCCTCTCTTCTTAGGAGGAATGCCTAGTCCTTGGCTGTTTTTTAATTAGGTTGTTTGTGTTTTTGTTGAGCTGTAAGAGTTCTCTATGTAGTTAGTCCAGGGTCTTACCAGGGATAAGACTGACAAATGTCCCCCCATCCTGTGGCATTGTCTTTTCCCTTTCTTGATACTGCCCTATGATGTACAAAAGTTTTTAATGTTGATAAGTCCAGTTCATTTGTTTTCTTCTATTGCTTGATCCTTTGGTGTCACACCTAAGAACCCATTTCCCAGTCTAAGGTCATGAAGATTTATCACTTTTAAGAGTTTTATAGTTTTAGCTCTTAGATCCATTTTGAGTTGATTTTTTTGTTGTATAGTGTGAGGTAGGGTTTGGATTCATTCTTTGTTATGGCTCAATACTTCAGAATCAATGCTCATATAAGATAACAATTCTCTACAGTCTAAAAAAATTTATAGCATTTAATCATTTTTCTTATATTTAAAAGAGAATCAAATATATATATGAAAAACCGAAAACTATGAAACTCTCAGAAGAAAACATACCACTAAATCTTTATGACCTTGGATTTGGAAATGAATTCTTATACATTGACAACAAAAGAAAAAGCAACAAAAGAAAAAATAGACATTGGTAAATCCTACATTGGATGAAGATCTAGTATTTGGTCTATATAAAGAACTCTTACAGCTCAACAACAAAGCAATAAAGAGCCCAATTTAAAAATAGGCAAAGGACTTGAGTGGACATTTCTCCAGAGAAGGTGTACAAATGGACAGTAAACACATAGAAACATGTTCAGCATCATTAGCCATTAGGAAAATACAGACCAAAACCATGAGATACTATACCATGCCCTCTAGAATGGTTATAATAAAACAAATGGACAATAGTAAGTGTTGACAAAGAAATGGAGATGTTGGAACCCTCCCACGTGGCTAGTGAGAATGGCAGATAGGGAAGCCGCTTTGGAAAACAGGTTGACAGTCCTCAAAACATTAAACATACAGCTACCCTATGACCCAGCAGTTCCACTCCTAGGTATATATCCCAAAGAATTAGCTACCTAAAAGACGTGGGCGTGAATATTTATGGCAGCTTTATGAATGGTAGCCAGGAGTGGAACCGAGCCAACTGTCAGTCACCAGATGAACGGATAAACAAAAAGTACAGCCATGCGCCCTGGCTGGCGTGGCTCAGTGGACTGAGTGCCAGCCTGCGAATCAAAGCGTCGCCGGTTCAATTCCCTGTTGGGGCACAGGCCTGGGTTGCGGGCCAGGTCCCCAGTGGGAGGCGCGTGAGAGGCAACCACGCAAGGATGTTTCTCTCCCTCTCTTTCTCCCTCCTTTCCACTCTCTCTAAAAGTTAATAAATAAAATCTTTAAAAAAAAAAAGAAGTATAGCTATGCAATGGAATGTTATTCAGCCTTAGAAAGGACTGAAGTGCTGATACGGTGACAGCGTGGATGAACCAGAAAACGTGCTCAATGATGCGACTGTGCCACTGATGCGCAGGGCTGAGAAACGGGAAATCCAAAGCCACAGAAAGCAGAGGAGCGGTTGCCAGGGGAGTGGGGGTGGGGGGGCGGGGAGTGACTAATGGATACAGAGTTTCTTCTTAAGATGATGAGAATGTTTTGGAATTAAATATTGGTAATGGTTCTGCACCGTGCGCATACTAAAAACCAGTAAATTGGGCCCTCTATAAGAGTGAATTTTAGGGTATGTGAAATAACCCAATAAAAATACATTTTTTTAATATTTTGCATGCACAGATTTCGTGTGTGTATGTGTTTTAAAACAATGCTCCTCTGATGCGTGCCTTAAGAAAATCTCTCTTTTTTTTTTAGGAATTTATCATGGCATCCTGCATTGACCACTAAAAGAAAAATGCGAATTCCACATTCCAATGCATTTATTGATCTGACTGAAGATTTCACAGCAGGTGAGTTGCACATAAATGTAAAATACTTCTTTTGAACTGCCGAAGCATTATGGGATTTTATTTACTGTTTTCTTAGTAAACATTTTCTTTTGAATTGTATGTTAAAACCAAAATGTTTGAGGATCATGAGGAAGTCAGTGGTATTGTATATATGGGGAAAGTACTGGATATAAGTCTTTAGTTGTTATTTTTGTTGTTAGTTAACCACATCAAAATTGAGAATTCATGATAATTTAGACAGAAGTTGCCTGATGTTTCCTCCCCTTTCCATTTAAAAATTATTGACTAATAAGTGCTATAAATTTGATTATAAGAAAAATGTTTTGTTTATGTATTTAAAATTTCAAAGGCTTTTAAAACATTTTGTTATAGAAAATTTTAAACATAGAAAAAAAAAAAACAAAATAGCGTGGTAGGTAGGCACACATTTAATCATCCCCTGGCTGTGGAAGAATCCATAAGGAGAAGGAATTGCCGAGCGAGCGTACAGGTTTTGTTTTACTTTCCCAGGGAGGGAAGGGGCTGGGTGTGGAGAAACGTCCCGCCCCCGAGGGGTGGAGCTGTGAGTTTTTATCCCGGAGGGGGAGGGGGAGGGGGAGGGGAACGGGCGGCAGGCTGGCGAGCCAGAGCTTCCGTTGGGCTGCTGCTGGCATCGATGTTATCTTTGGGTGCAGGCCCCGTCCTGTTTCGCAAGTTCCTGGAGCCTCTGCACCTTGGGGTGCCCAGCAGTTTTCTAGTCCCGAGGATAAAGGCCCCTAAAACAATGAGGGCGGGTCCTGCTTTCTGGGGTCCAGCCAGCTCTAGGAAAGAGCCTGAAAAGGGGGCTTTGTCCTGTCAGTGTGGACCCATCATCTAACTCTTCACACTGAAACCCTACACCCGGCACTCGGCACCCAGGCTTCTACCCTCCTCCTGTGATTCTCTGTGATTCGGGCGACTCGCAGCCCTTCCAATGGGTGAAATCTCGCCATCTTTATTATCTCTGACTGGCTTATTCCACTGGGCACGACGCCCTCAAGGGCCCCCACGTTGGCAGGATTGCCTCTGAAAACCCCCCATTTTGTGCACCACCCGCTTGGGTCGTGTCCGCGTCTCGGCCGTGGGGGCCCGTGGGGGCCCTTGGGAGCGATGCTGCGGTGAGCGCCGGGGAGCGGCTGCGTCTTCAGCACAGCGACGCTCCCCCTCCGCACCACGCACTCCCAGAAGTGGGGCGCTGGACCGGAGGGCGCTGTGTTTTCAGTGCTCACCAAGGCTGGCTGCGTTTTGTCTTTCCGATGCAAGCCATTCTAACAGGACCTCGCTGTGGCCCTGATTTGCATTTCCGCGTCACCTGGGAATTTCTGTACTATCACAGGTACTTTTTCACACATTGATCAATTTCCGTAACCACCACAAAGAAAGGTCCAAACTCAGGGCCTGGGCCAAGTAGCTACTTTCTCTGCTTGGAATATTATTCCTCCAGGTGCCTGTATCGCCTCTTTCAAGTTACTTCTCCAAACGCACCTCACTCCCTTCGCGTCTTCACCCCAGTGCCGCCTGATCGGTCGCCAAGGCCGGCTGTGGATTCGGGGTCGCAGGGGTCGCCGCGCCCACGCCCTCCGCGCGGCCCTTGCTTGGCGTTTGTTTTTCTCCAAAACCTTTCACTGTATTTAGCACACGGAGCATTTGCTAAATGACTGCGCGCTTATTTTATCGTATCTCCTCGCCCTGCAATATAAACTCCGTGAGCGCGGGGATTTTGGGTTGTGCTGTCTCTGTCCTTTCTCTCGTGGCCAGGACAGTGTCTGGTCCCAAATAGGAACTGGATGGGTATCTGTTGAACCAATAGTCACACTTCGGGCAGCAGAACGGGCCCTGAAGACAGCCAGCACAGTGTTAAGTGCTCAGGCTGTCGCTGGTTGGTGGGCCTCTTTCCACTGAAGAGTGGCCAGCGAAGGAAGCTCTTACTGAAAATGGTGTTTCTTTGCACAAGCTCAGACATATATTTTTGAATGGGTTTTCTTCAAAAATTCCACCAGGAGCATCTCAGAATTCCATGCAAAGCTTAGGAACATGGGCTGTGGGAATTTTATCTAAGCAGATGGGAGACAATAATGGAGACTTTTTTCCAAGAATTCTGTCCATTTTTCTAAAAAATACAAATTAAACCATTTCAATCCTTAAGATAACATAAGGTTATCTTATAAACCCCGTCTAAATGCATTCTGCTTGAACTGATTGAAATTCTGTTGTAAATAATTGTTGATCTTTATCGGGAAGGATGAAGAACGCTGTTTTCTAAAAACTGCAGCTGAGCTGCCGATGTTATCCCCCTGTTCCCGGGAGGGGCCGCGCACCGGGCAGGCGGGGCTGCGGGGGGGGGGGAGGCGTCTGTGTCGGTGCCCTGCGACGTCTCTGGTGCTTGCACACACTCGTTCTGACACAGGTCGGCGCCATTAGTCTGTGGTGCTAACAGCCCCTTGCTTATTCCGTACCTATTAGGAGCTATTAGAAGTCCCTGGGCTTGACCCAGGGAGCCCCCCCGCCTCCCCCGCCCCGAGAAAAGCCTGTCACAGTATTGAACCTGACCGTCACTGTTCTTTCTGACATGGAGAGCGCACATCCATAGAGGACACGTGACCCCACTAACAGAGCTTCATTAATATCAGTAGGCACATGGGCCTCCACCCCTGGAAATACTAGAAAAGGGTAGCTGATTTCTCAGTCAGATAAAAATATAATTATCATATGAGGTAAAACAAAATCTTCACTTGGTTAGGGAAGCGCGAGCCTGGCTGCAGCACATGAACATGTACTGTATCAACGTGTGCTGCGTGAAGTCGAGGGAGACCTCATTAGCGCTGACACCAGGGAAAGCACAGGAGGGCTCGGGACCGTTTCAGATGAAGCTTCTGGCGACTACGGTGTGTGTCTTACAGTGTTTCCTTCTTAAAGAAGAAAAATAAAATGCAGCTTTATTAAAATCCACTTAGTGTCATGGCTCCGTTCACCCTGCGTCGCATTTTCACTGAATCTGTTACCTATTAGTGGATGATACCAAATAGTTTCCTGGCACCTTGGTAGCACTGCTTCCGTGCCGTGCAGTCTGCCCAAGGCGCCCCGGCCCTCGGAATCGGGTCTGTGAGGAGGGCGAGGCCCGTATCCGAGCCGGTCGAAGGACAGGGAGAGGGACCCTCGCTCCTTCCTGGCGCGGAAGGTTCTCCCCACGGCGGGGTCATCCGGCCTGATCGGGGCTGTGCTTTCGAGAACGGGGCCGCTTTCTCCGTTCACTAAACACACCGCTGTCTGGGGCACGTGGGCTGGTGCGGCCGCTCTCCTGCGGGTGGGAGGGGAGCCGCTGAAATCGTAGTGGCTTTTGTCACAGGGCCCCGTTTGGTCACTGGAGGAGTTAGTGACACTTTGCCGATTATCATTCTGACAGGGTGCCCACCAGTGGATTGAATTTCTCACCTGTCAGAGGATTTGATTTATTTGGGGGCGTTATTGTCTTGGTGACCTTGCTTGGTGTCTAATTTGTTTTCAGGGAGAGGAACAGAGAAGGGAACCTGAATCAAGTTAATATTTCCTCCTTAGGAACAGATTGCCTCAGTTCTCTTCCGGCTTCTGTGAATTACCGTCCTCACAGGAAGTCACCGCGAACCGACGTGAGCCGCGCACTCACGGAGCCACCAAAGCGCAGCAGGGGCAGACGCGGGGCTGTTCGTGGCTCTTCTCAAAGAGCAAGGGTCAGAGTGACCGGGGAGTTTGGGGACCCGTGCTGCACCCCTCGGGAACAGTCCCCAAACCGAGCAGCACAGTTTTTCAGGTGTTTAGATGCTGGTGTTAGTTCGCGCCTCTTTTCTTTTCCTGCCTCGTGCTTCCCACGGTTTCTTTGGTCCTCGGCACCTCTAAGCAGACACTCGGAAAGGAGAGGGAGGAAATTCAAGTCGTCCGTGTCCCTCAGTTTGTGGGAGTGGAAGGGTGTGTGTGGCCGTGCTGGTGAAAACAGCGCAGCCTACCGCCCGGTCCGGGCCCGCCCCCGGTGCCAGCTCAGACGGGAGGGCCCGCGTGCGGGCCGCTCTGGCCCCAGGCTGGGCCCCAGTGAGGCGTCCATCTAGCGAGAGCAGGCCACGCTCCCTGGTGCTCGGAGGCCCGACGTCACTGAGGAGGCCCCCGCGCTCCCCGTGGACCCCCGGCTCGGAGACGCCGTGTGACCTCTTGCTCGGGGGCCTTCGGGGCGCCCCTTCATCCTCTGAAGTAGATGCCGGCTCCTCAGTCTGCCCCGGTGGCCCCCGGCCTCCGCGCCAGCCCGCACGCTGCGTCCCCGCAAGCGTCCCACCCAGGCGCCGAGCTCAGCGCCGCCCTCCGCAGCGCGCTCGGCTCCCTCAGGCCGGGCCTGTGTCCCGCCGTCCCCTCCTCCTGGGGTCTCAGCCACAGCCTGTTGACGCGAGGAGCTGGGCACCGACTTGTGTGGGGGCTGTCACGCGTCGCGCCCCGCCCCTTTCCGCGCCCTGTCCGTGGGCTCGTGGCAACCCCTGCAAGCGCACTTCCCCTCCCTGACTCTGACGGGCAGATCCTCTGTCCTCGTGCACCCGCCCAGCTGCCTGGAAGGACACATGTCACACTCTCACGTCGAGCCCCCTGTCATTCTCTCTCCTACTTTCCCAGCTGTGTCTTCATTCTCTCAGTTTGAAATCGAAGCCCCCACTTCTCACCCTGGTGTGTGTTGGGTGGTCGTCTCTCCCTTCCCTCCTCTCTCCCGTCTCTGCCCTCCTCCCTCCCTGCCCCGCCCCCGCGTGCCGAGGACGCGAGGAGGGGACCTTCCTGGGCCAGCTGCGGAGATGGAAATGGGGTCAGCAGAGAGCTGAAGCCGCGGCCGCCTGGGACCGAGCGCCTGAGGCGGCTCTGAGGGGCAGCTCCTGTTGCAGGGTTGGCTGCCTCCCCACACCTGCCACCTGCTCGCCGAATATAGACGCGTTTTTAACCTGATACCCGGGCTGCACACTGCTGGCCCGGAGCGC